ACCCGAAATGTTAACTCTGACTTTTCTTCACAGATGCTGCCAGACCTTCTGTGCTTTTCCAGCAACTTCTGTTTTAGTTCCTGATTTACAGCGTCCACAGTTCTTTTGGTTTTCATTTAGTATTTCTCCCACACCAGTCTTTGAGCCACAAGTTCATCTCTCTAATCTGATTTGTCCTCTCCTAATTTGAATGTGTCTTAGATAGTAATCCAGAGTTCATTACCTTTGAAGTTCTGCTTCTTAATTTCGTGCCTAGCTCTGCATGCTGACTGTGCAAAACCTCTTTCCTACTCTTACCCATATAGTTGGAACCAAAATGTACTCCCGACAATTATGTCCTTCCCCTCCCACTGCAAGTTCCTCTCCAGCTCTGAGCAGATGTCCTAAACTGTGGTAACCAGATTCCTGCTCTCAGCTAAGGAGAACAGTGTCTATCTCCCTGATTATACTGTCCAATAATACATTTCTTTTAATCCTCCCACTTCAAAGACTTCCTGTACTGTGATGTTATGGTCAATCAACTCCTTCACACCACAGCCCTCACTCTTATCCTTATAAGCTGCACAAACCTCAGACCTTTTGGAGAATTGCAAGTGCTAGGCAAGTGCAGCCCCTCCACTGCTACCTTCTCAATCCCCTTACCTGTTTCAACGTGCAGTCACACTCTCCTGTACCTGACCACCGAGCAAATCAGACAAAGCCAGCCAAAGGCATGTTTCTGCCTGAGCTGAAACTCCTCAAGCTGCAGACGTTTAAAAGCAGACGTGTTTGCTTTTGCAGCAAAATCCAGGAGATCCTACATACTGAAATCCTGTCTTCCAAAGAGTATTTTTACAAATAAGTCAGCTCTGCTAAAGCATAGAAAGCAGCTTAAGATGGATAACTTACTACCTAATTACCACTACTCTCAGAGAATTTGTATATCCCTTTTTGTGCATCACTTCTTTTATGCATCAACATACCCCTTTTAAACAGTAATGTATAGTTAGTTGCTAAATGTAAACAAAATAAAATTAAATTCGGAAAGAGATAGACCTTAAGATCACTTCACTTGCCCAGATCCTGGCTTCACAGCCCTTGTAGATCTCCACCCCTGCAGAATAATGCCAATGCAGTTCTATCAGGTGGACATTTCTAATGTTGTTGCCAGACACATGGTATAAGCCAAATATCCACAGATGCTCATTACATTGAACCAACTGGCTCATGTAGGTACAAAAGTTAGAATTTATTTTCACCTTTCTTAAACAAATATTTAACAGCCAACTAATGAGCCAGAAAGAAAGACTTACATTTATATAGCACCTTTCACAGCTTCAGGATGTCCCCACGTGCTTTGCAGGCAATGCAGCACTTCTGCAGTGCAGTCGCTATTGGAACACAAGGAGAATGGCAGCCAATTTACAGACAGCAATTTCCTGTAAACTGTAATGCAATAATGACCAGAGGATGTATATTTCGGTGTTGGGCGAGGGATAAATATCAGTCAGGACTCAAGGCAGAGCTCTCTTTTTAAAAAATACTGCCATAGATCTTTTACATTTACTTAAGAGAACAGGTAATGTCACGATTTGGTAGCCTATTCAAAAGACAGTACCACTGGCAGTGCAGCATCATCCAAGGTTATGTGCTCAAGTCAGTTTGTCAGATATATCACCGGGAGGATATTATTGCATCCTTTCATGTAGCCCTAGTTTTATTTTGAGTGAAACTATCCTCCAATTGATGCAGTATATTTTCTGGTTTGTTTTCTACAATGACATTAACACACTATATCCAACTGCCCACATATTCCCCTCCAGCCACATCCCAAATCTCCAGTCCTTCCCTTAGCTTTGCTCCTAACCCTCTTACCCCTTCTGCTTCTCCCCTGGCTTTAGGGAGCCCGGACCCTGATGAAGATGAGGACCTGATAACAGTGGAGTTTGATGATGGTGATACTGGACGCATTCCTCTTTCACACATACGCCTTCTGCCTCCAGATTATAAGATTCAATGTACGTAAAACCCATGGTCTCAAATCCAGCTGTACCTGTTCATTTCAGACCTTGAGACATTTGACAGCTGCCTTTTCTTAAAATGGCTTGAAGCGGGGGTTTAAGCAGTGGTTTCCCAGCCTCTCGATGAGATAAACCAGTGTGGGGTTCGGGTTACATTACAAAAGGGAGCTGTAGTCACTAACCCAAAGTAGGTTGGCTTAATTTGACTTGAAGCATCGAGATAAACTCTACTGGGGACATAAACAAGATCTACAACTTTGTTGGTACTTTGTTTTTCTCTCACCTGAACTTTTTTCACCTCCTCCCTCCTCTCTGCCGTACAATCCTTCAGGTCATTTAGACACTTAGAAAGGGCAGAGGGGTCCAGGAAGTGATTGATTATTCCCTTCTGCTTGTGACCATGCTGTGTTCCTCACTGCCAATGGGAGAGACCTTGGCTGACAATGGAACTAACAGTTTGTAACTGTGTTGTTTAGAATCAAGCAGCAGATATCCCTAAGACTGGAATGCAGTCTGCTGGAGCGCTCCCTCCAGACAGGAGCGCTGGCCTCGTGTACATCTTTAAATTTCCTCCAGTCGTTGAAATCTTTCGCTGATCCATTTAGCACAAAAGTTAAAAGTGGCCTATGTCTGTCAGTGTCTGATTCAGAGACTGGCTTCTTCTTAACAGGTGCAGAGCCATCCCCAGCTCTGCTAGTGCCCAACACCAAGCGGCAAAGCAGGAAGTCCAGCAAGGATGCCATGGACAGCAAAGAGGCTGGTGCCCAGGGCACTGACAACAGCGCAGTGAAAAGTAAAGGCCGAGGGAGGAAAACGTCCACCGCCAAAGGGAAAGCTGGTAGGTCGATCATCAGTGAGACTTCCCTCGCAGTGCAACTTGGCCAGTATGAAGGAAGCGATGCAAGACTTCCTCAAACAGAGGGTTGTGGAAATCTGCCACTTCCTCAGGAGGCAAGGCTACAGCTGAAAACCTCCAACACTGAGTTTTATAGCTTCCTGTGACATCGGTTACCGAGTCACGGAGAGTCTGAGAAATGGATCTGCAACGATCGAATCGAATCGAATCGAATCGAAAGCAGGCAAAGGCTCGAGGGCCAAATGACCTACTCCCGTTCCTGTGTTCGTAACCCTTCTTAATACTGATCACAGTTTTCATTCGGCCACTGAATTCTGCCAGGAGACGGGTTCAGAGGTTAGCCACTTTTGTAATGTAGAAACCACAATTTGTGCACAGCAAGAGCCCACAATTAACGAAGCGATAATTATCAAACGAGTTTCCTTTTTTGTGTGTGATGTCGCTAAGCATAAATATTGGCCACGTTGCAGGGAAGTTGCTTGGAGCCACGAGAACCTCTCCAGTGGTCGGAGAGGGTCTGGCTTGAGCAAATTATTGGAAGAGGATGTAAAATAATCGAGAGTTCCTTTCTCCTTCCCCTTTACGTTAATTTAGGAACTGACTCGGTTTCAGAGCAGACGGAGGTTCCCGGGCTGGTGGAGGGTCAGACTGACGTGGAGGGCCAGAGTAAGCAAGTTGCAAAAGCGACAAGAAAGTGCCTCCCAAAAAGGAGTGGGGTCAGTGCTGCGGCCAAGGCCCCCAGTGAGAGGAAAAAGAAGGTGGCGAAGGTGAAGCTTGTCCCGAAACAAAGCGCGCAGCAGCCAGCCACTTTCCCAGCTCCGGTCTTTGGCAACGTCCTCGGCCTGGAAACGTACGGTGAACTGCCGGACCCGTTTGCCCCCTCCGAGGGCACGGGAGCGAATGCGAAGGCAAAGAAGGGGAAGAAAACAGAGGAAGAGGCCCAGGAATTTGGGAACGGCGGGAAAGGACTGAGGAAGCAACAGGAGGCGGAGATTCTCGTCAAGTTGGACCACGAAGGGGTAATGTCACCCAAAACGAAGAAGACCAAAGCCATGATGATGGAAGATCAAAACCTGACAGGCAAGGTGGACAGCAAGATCATGCTCAACGTGAGCTACCCCACAGCAGCCGGGGGCTGTGAGGTGAAGCAGAAACCGTCAAAAAGTAAGGCTGCCAAGAAGGAACCTAATGCGGGCGCTGCGTACTCCGGGGGGACTTTTGGCAGCACCGAGTCCAAAGCCAAGATGAAGAACAAAGAGAAGGAAGATGGCAATAGCAGTGCGAGCAGCAGTAGCAGTCCCGAATCCGAGGGGGAGGAAGATCGGCAGAATGATGAGAGAGAAGCTCCGCGGAATAGCAGCACCGCGAGTTCCAGGGCCTCGTCACCAGTGTCCTCATCGTCGTCGTCCCAGTCTTCCTCCTCCAGCTCCTCGTCCTCATCCTCTTCCTCGTCTAGCTCATCTTCTTCATCCTCCACGACCGATGAAGACTCGTCCTGCAGCTCTGATGAGGAGGAAGCCGACTTCCAGTCTGCCTCTCCGCCCGGCCCGTCGTCAGGGCAACAGGCGCGCCTGCCCCCTGAGCCCCGACCCCAGCAGCAAGCCCGACGGCAGAAGCAGAAACAGCAGCCCAGTAAGAGCAAGAGCAAACCCAAGAAACGAGAAGGTGTCCACCTGCCAACCACCAAGGAGCTGGCCAAACGACAGCGGCTGCCATCAGTGGAGAACAGGCCCAAAATCGCAGCCTTCCTTCCTGCCAGACAGCTTTGGAAATGGTTCGGCAAACCCACCCAGGTAAGTAGAGTCATACAGCGCAGAAACAGACCCTTCAGGCCAACTCGCCCATGCTGTTCTGTGCAGGTTTCCTGACCTAAACCAGCCCCACCTGCCTGTGTTTGGCCCACATCCCTCCAAACTTTCCTATTCGTGTACCTATCCAAATGTCGTTTAAATGTTGCAACTGTACCCGCATCTGCCACTTCCTCTGGCGGTTCATTCCACACATGACCCACCCTCTGTGTGAGAACGTTGCCCTTCAGGCCCATTTTAAATCTTTCTCCTCTCATCCTAAAATTATGCCCTCTAGTTTTGAGCTCCCCTAAGCTAGGGAAAAGACCTTTGCTGTTCACCTTATCTATGCCCCTCATGACTTTATAAACCTCTGTAAGGTCCACCCCTCAACCTCCTACAGTCCAGGGAAAAAAGTCCCAGCCTATCCATCCTCTCCATGTAACTCAAACTCTCCAGTCCTGGTAACATCCTTGTAACCCTCTCCAATTTAATAATATCCTTCCTATAGCAGATATCTACAGATATTAAAAAAAGAAGGTGGGTACGATAACCTATGCACCTCTAGCTCAAAGTGAAGCACTAAACCGCGGTGATTTTAAAAGTATTTCCAGTACCGCAGAGGTTTTGTTTAACAGGTTAATTTATCAATAATCTGGTTGCAGACCCATGTTGCTCAGAGTGCTTCCAAGTTTTGGATGAATTGGGACAGGACTCAGCAATCTTTTTTAATACTGAAGAACCTTCTAGAAAACATTTGCCTGACATTAGGCCACAAGCCAGAAATTCTGTTTTTTTAAACCAGGTGGATAATTTGCTGATAATATATCACCCACCGCAGAAACAGGCTTCCCATTTAACACGGAAGTAAAGAGGATTTATTTTTCAAGGAGGGTTATGGGTCTTTGGAACTTTCTTTCCCAGAGAATGGTGGTGGGGCCGCAGCAGACATAGAATACTTTTACAGCGGAAGGAGATAGAGTCTTGACGATTCGAGCTTCTCGGGATGGATGGGAATGTGGAGTTGAGAACACAAATTGGCTCTGATCTTTCTCAATGGCACAGCAAGCTACAGGACCCACTTGTTCTAATCCTTTTCCTAATTCATACCCTTGTACATATCAACAGAAAACAAAATGAAAGCTAAAATAGAACAACCTCTGAATTATCATGTTGTCTCCGTTTTCAAACTTGACTTTTGTCGATAAAATTATCTTTAAAACAAAGTTTAACTTACATAAAATTAAGCCAGATTTTTCAGCTTTTGATTCTTGTAATTGAAAATATTATTTTTAGCAGCACAGATAGAATAAGTTATCATTGCAGCAATATAAAAAATGATGAAAATCAAAACCATCTAAACATGGTCAAACCAAGGCGTTTATCGAAAACTATGTGAGCTAAACTCCTCAAACAAATTTATTCAATCCTCAGTGATTATTTTTAGTTAAAATAATAATATGAAACTGCAAAGTGCAGCACTGGGGAGGCGATGGCCTAGTGGTGTTATCACTGGACTGTTAATCCAGAGACCCAGGCTACACTCTGGAGACCTGGGTTTGAACCCTGCCACAGCAGATGGTGGAATTGGAATTCAATTTAAAAACCTGTTATGAAGAGTTTAATGATGACCATGAATCCATTGTTGATTTGTTGGGAAAGAAACCATCTGGTTCACTAATGTCCTTCAGGGAAGAAAACTGCCTTCCTTACCTGGTCTGGCCTACATGTGATTTCAGACCCACAGTAATGTGGCTGACTCTTACAGATGGGCAATAAATGCTGGCCTAGTGGGTGACACCCTCATCCCATGAATGAATTAAAAAACATAGTGTGCTAAAAGCCATTAATCACAGCAGTAATTTTCTCGTGCTTAGCTTTTCTTTAAGACAGAGTTTGGAGCTGCAAACGCAATGTTAACAAACAAATCTTTTGAGGTACTGGAGCTGAGGGTTACAGACTCCTGGATTAGGGACTGGGAGGATCCTGATAGATTTAAGGAGATGTGGGTTGTGGGGGGTGCTGGTTTAGGAATAGAGTACACTTGTAGAAGAGGGGCTGTTGGAGTGAGGGTGAGGATTTGAAGGAATTGGAAGTCAGATTGAATGTAGAACTTGAAGGGAATCATACAGCTTTTATCTGACTGCAAATGACTGAAGATGTCAACATCCCAGAAGCGGCATTGCATCCAAGCCTGGCAGAACTCGTGTGTATTGGCCACTGCGTTGTTGACAGGTGCAGCAGGATAGACTTGGACCCTGTCTAGGAAAATCATGTGGGTACAGCAATTGCCACAAGATTGTATATGTGTACAGTTTGCAGACACAGCCCAAAGCTGATGATGCATTTGCCCAGGACACATTTTACCCAGGCACAAACCCAGGAAAGAGACAAGTCCAGGTTTCCTGCAGAATAGTGTTATAGCCTTGAATTCAAGGTGGCTATAATCTGTCCCAACAAATGTAACTAATTCGGAAGCAATTTAGAATTTAACACATATTACAATAATTGGCAAAAGAACCAGAAGCCAATTTTATATTTTTTAACGGTAAATTATTGTGAACTGGAAGCAGATTTATTGTTAACATTAGAAGAGGAATCTGATAAATGCATTAACGTGATTATGGGGAGCAAGTAGAACACTGGGGAATAACTGGATTTCAAACACTCAACTCAGGCAAGACCAATTGGCCTCATTCTGTACTTTAAGCTGTCACCTTGTGTCATGTTTCAGCAGACCAGAGGCTGCAAGGTTTCAGAAATCTGTGTTGAGTTGTCCCTATGTTGGCCAGTGGGAATGTCCACGTGGATACAGTGCATGCTTTGCAGTGGGAGCACTTTTGCCAAGTATCCCCACAATTAACATGGCTAATGTTACAACTAATAAAAAGTTGCTGAAGGAGGTCACTGTATAAGCAAGCTGAAAAGCTCCAGACAGTCTCTCACTGACTGGGAAAGCCTTCTATTTCGATTCCAGGTCTGAGCTAAATAGGCCGTTCCCTCCCCCTGCCCAGGTTAAAAATAGCCTCAGCACCTTTGGGCTGGACAATATCCGTTCAGGTTCCCACTTCTGGCTGCTTTTAATCAATCACCTCTTTGAGCATAAACTGTAATAGGGTAGCTATCACAGAAAACCAAATTCGTGTTGAATTGAATCAAGTCCTCACAATCAAAAAAATACAGACTCATGGTTTGTCTCTTCTCTTCCCTCCTACTGGCCATTTTGGTGCCTGTAGTGAGGTTAAGGTTAAAGACCTAGATACAACACAATG